TGTTGCTTGTGGCTGTAAATATGTCCTCTGAAAAAGGCAGACGGTAAAAAATGGGGTCAAAATTTCTGTCACGGGCTCCCGGTCTAATAGTGCAGAAACACATTTTGAAAAGTACATTTGGCCTTTCTCAACACTCCTTATGTAGATCGCAATTCAGAAAACTTGGCATATTGACCGTACGAGCGTTTCACCAACCTAGTTAACGTCCTCATGAGAGGCGCCAACTTGACATTTTTTATTATTATTATATGAAATAACAAAGCACAAGTTTGACTCTCTAATCTAAGATCCCAATGTAACTAAGACATTATGATATGATAACTATATGAGAACAGAAAACGACATGATTTCGAACGTCATCCGTTTTTGGAACTATGTCAGTGATAAGACAAAAATTATTGCCTACCAAATACCACGCGAAGAGACGATTCAACATTTCCACCATGGAAGACACCACTAACGCCTTTGCCGTACTCTGAAGTCGAAATGTGGTTTATAAACGTTCCCATTGATTTACATTGTTACTGACACCTTGTTTGTAGTAGTATTCATAATTTTGTGTCTCTCTATATATATAATACCTAGAATAAAGATATAAATACACAAGATATGCATAATAGCAGTTTCCAAACTTACATGTAATTACAAATATCAAAGTTACTTGACTAGGACCTAGTCAGTTTCTGTTCCTATGTACAAAATCAATATTCAGTGTACATATTTGGTAACTTTCATATAACGAATATCGCATATGATGGTGGGTAGAACTAGTACATACAAAGTACACTTGTAAAACTGGCTGAGGAGAGAGCACGGAAAATATCAATTTCAAAATGACACAAGCCATTTATGAAGGATTTCATGAAATGTTTGAAGACACAACACGAATGAATCAGAGTTTTGACATCTGTCAACAGTGTCAACTCGAGAGAGGTGGGAATTAAGAATTTGGATATTTCCAAACGTTGGGCAACAGAACGAATTGCAATGAAATTTAATAAAGTGTTCACCATGTCGACTTTGTGAATCAAACTCTATAATCCGATTTTCTTAAACAATTCTCTCAAAAAAAATATATTCTCCACCATTCGATTGAATGAAGGAGATGGATAATTCCCCACCATTCGATTGAATGAAGGAGATGGATAAACATTTTCTGGTATTTTCATTACAATTGATCATATATGAGATGAAAAGACAAGAACATTTTCGGAAAAGTACTCTCTTTAAACATTTGGAACAAGTTCCTATTACAATCTAATAATAAATCACATATCTGGGTAAAAACAATCATGGCAATGCTGTAATAATACTTGATATTGGGACAAATATACACAAGAACAATTAAACTTAATTACAACAGTGCATTTTTTTCAAAAATATACAAAAAAACATATTTCACAACCAAAAATTAAATTACTTATTTTACAGAAATAATAGATAACTTCATATAATATTTTCATAAACAACGAATTATGATTTTGTTTCACAGTTTGATATTCAATTGCATAAAATTTTTAAAGCTGCCTTATACTAGATTTAGTAGAACATCAAACTGAAGAACTGGAATATTTTGAACAAAACACAAATCACAATATATTCTAAATCATGAACTGCTCAAAAGTGAAAAGGTGTGTATCAAAGTCGAATGAAGGGTTGACTAAATCAACATACCTTATCCTGTTCATCACTTGAGAACGTGCATCACAGAAAACTACTAACGACCAGTGACCTTGAAGACTCCAGTCGAAGAAAAGTACAATTGCAAGTGTTTTGATGAGTTTAGTCAATTTGACAAAAAACTGACAGAAGAAAATAATTTCTAAAAAAGGTTTTTGTCAGGTTTTGATAGCGTAGCGAATGAGACTAGTACCACTCTGTTGTGAACATTTAAGGGAACTCTTGAAGAAGCGATGAAAACGAAAGAGAACATAATATCTCGTTTCCTTGGTTGATCTATTAGTTATTGTAGTCTTCCACAATATGAGAAGACTATCCAAAACAAAAACTCTTCCCAATCGCCAGAACTCCAACATTTTTCTCGACATGCATTTCATCAACCAAGTTGGCATCTTCAGAAGATAGAGTAGTCAATATGTGACTCAAAAAGAATGTTTCAAAACTGGTGTTTGGGAACAGGGCTTATTTTGGATTTATTCTAACCCAGAGGTTTCCGTTCTACATCAGACTAAGTAGAGTCTGTCGAATATTTCTTTATAAATTCCTTGAAATCAATCAAGAAGTCTCACTATCCTCAACAAAAATGATTTTTAAGCAATAATAACATGTGATTTGACCAGTGTGAATAACTTCAGTTCATTTCCAAATGGAGAGCGTTAAAAGTTACAATGGAAATCGAAAAAAAAAAAACTAGAAATTATCGTATGACATTTAATTTCGTTTTTGAACTCAAACTATAGGAGTACAAAATTGTATTTTGTGGTGGAGAACCAAATTTACTTTTGAGCAGTTCAAGGAAGGCGAATATCCCACTAGATATGTTTCATAAAATTCTCTAAGTACACTGGAAAAAGGCCTCAATGTTAGAAAAGGCAATGTGTGATTACTAGGTATAACTATTTTGGAAAAGTTCATAAAAAATATAACGATTTAAAAATGTTGAGATCGTTTTTGTTTTCATAAGTTAAGGAATGTGTGTGAAGTGATAAATAATTTTGTTTGAATAAAACGTAATACGATACTCATTTTGAAGATTTTGGCAGATGCCTTTTGTTGTGCAAAGCCAAATGGTCAGATCGGGCGAACGAGCGCTCACAAACTCCACACTTGAAGGGTTTTGCACCCGTGTGTTTTCTATAATGTCGAGTGAGTTCATCGGATCTTGCAAATCTCCATTCGCATTCGGGCCACTGGCACTGGTAAGGCTTCTCTCCTGAAATCACAACATTTCATGTTCAACATTCGAATAAAATTAATAATAATAATAATATTAATAATAATAATAGGTCTTTATTCCCATAATGATACAATAAATAAATGTGAACATTTACTGAAACGGGAAAGGCTGAAGATCAGTTGGTTGCATCAAAAGATGCAACATGTTTTTCATCTATATCGGTGAAATTAAGAGGCCATTGCCGAGCACAAAAAAAACACACAGCAAGGAAAAACCAGCAAATCGGGAATAACAGAGTATGTTTGGACTCATCAACATCAAGTGGTTCCAAGCTGAGATCATCCACATGAGAGAAAGTTCAAAGAAACTTTATATATGTTTGCATTCAGCCAAGCTAGCGTAGATATATGCAATATATGGAAAAACAGAAATCAAACAAAAAAACGGTCAACTCCCACCAAACGGTCATCTACTGCTAAACCGGTGAAGTAGACAAAAGGAAGAGGGAATAGGTGAAAGCACTCGAATGCCATATAAATACAGCTGCCGGACTGAGTCATGGCAAGTGAGAAGACCCTCCCTCCGAGTTTTCCTCTACATAAACTGCTTTTTATATATCTAAAAGTACACAAATGGTATTTCAATATCCATTTATTGTTCCGTGTTACGTAACATTGCAAACAGAAGTTTCTATTCCTTTTTCCTAATACATACTTTCTTTATCATACACCGATCCAAACTTTCGCGGATACGATTTCTCCCGCCGGCCATGACTCAGTCTGGTAGCTGTAGTCATCTCTCGCAGGAATAGTCCAGTCATCATCCGAAGACGATTGTAGATACCAACAATCGAAACGTCGTGAAGTAACTTGGCTTGAAATCTTCCAATTTTAATTGTTCAATTTTTTATTTTTTTGCTTGATTTTCATTTTACTGTAATTTCATTTCGGGTTTTTTTGTTGTTTAATATCTGTTGTTTAATATAATTGTTATTTTCAGCTATTCAATTTAATTTTCAATTTTGTTTGTTCTTTCAGGGATTTCAAGTCATATTATATTATACTAAACAATGGAAGTCCGAACTAATGAAATTTATATCTTTATATTGGTAATGTATCTCGACTTTACACTTGTTTTCCAGAATTCCAAAACTAATATAGATTATTTTATGTTATTATTATAGATAATTTCTAAAACGATTAAAGACAACAAAATTTGATCTGGTAGACTATGATCGAAGGGAACATCAAGTACAAAACATTTTCTTTGGTACTGCAACAGACATCATCATCATCATGTTGTCTGCCCCAGTAGCAGATGACACTTTTGGTACCAAGTGGACCATGGTTCACCAGCCTGGATAATGTTGGGAAAATCAAAAATTGAAATTATTCCGGTATTGAAGAAATATCAGTGAGAATATTAGATAATTTACCAGACGAATCATTATATACTACTTCAGCAGAAGTGGTATTTCCCGACATGTTTGAAAACAACAGTTATTGTACCACAATGCATACCGGTGGAAAGTTAGCAATATCTTCAAATTTCAGACCAATCGATTTACTCTCAACTATGCGAAAAGTAATTGGAACAATAACGAGAAAAATATTATTGGTATTCTCAAACAAACATAAACACACTATCTACAATACAATTCAAATTTCAAACTCATAAAAGTACCAGTTATATAATTTTCAACTTTTTGAAAGAACTTTATTTTGGCCCAAATAATTAGAGCAGTATTCTGCAACTTCACAAAAGCATTCGATTGCCTCAATCACAAAGTACTGCTGAAAAATTATTTTGTTATGGATTCAGAGGCGACATTGGTTTGAAAGCTATCTTTCTAGCCAAAATCAGGTTGTCAAATTGAAGAATTGTTTCTCCGATCTTTCAAACTGCACTAAATTCCTAGATATATGATATATAGATTGATTATGAACTACATTTTGATATACAATTAAAGTGTTTTCACCGGTGAACTTGGAGTAAATGCACTCATTGAGTCACATTTAATGTATGACATTTTAAATTGGGGTTTTTGCAGCAATTTGTTAATGAGCTCAGTATTTCTTTTGCCGAAAAATGCCATATCAGATATTTATGTAAACTATACTATAAACCGCTATTAGTAAAACATGAAGTTTTGACCCTTTATTGTATATTCATTGCCGAGACAGTGTGCTCAATATAGAAGAAACAAATCTAATATGACAGTTGAAATGTGTTAAGGTCATGAAGATAACCTTCCTTGTTTCCGAATATTTTTTGGTTCCTCTCTCGAAGCCAGATAACCGTGGCAGATGCTTACAAATTGGTTTTGATCGCGAAAAAATGGTCACATGAAATTTTGGTACAGTCCAGCTTTGGACCAATTTTTTTAAACCAACACCATCAAAGTTATAAAGGCGAAAAGTTGCATGTAATTTGGGACCACTGATTTTTTCTGTAGAACACTTATATTACCTACATATTGAAAATTGAAAAATCTCGAAATGTGACACTTATTCAAAAAAAGATGGAACTTACTTAAGAGGCACCCACCTGTATGTATTCTTTGATGAGCCTTCAGATGTGAGCTTTTCGTGTAAACTTTTGAACAACCTGAAAAATAAATAAGAAATCAAAATACCTCAACTACACCATCGAAATAATCTCTCAATAAATCTTTCAAGCTTATGAATTTTGGATGATATTTTCATTATTATAGATAAATGTGAAGTTTCATGAATGATGATGAAACCGCTAGACACTTATTTTTGAATCCTGCATGATGCAGATGTCAAAAATGTGGATTTCACATCATTTATCTCTGCAAAATTGCATTTCTGCAATTTTTTGAGTTTTTTTATATAATGTTTTGCCTCTTTTATAGATTTGCATATATACTGATCAGTTTGAATTGAATTGTTCCCATTACTTTTTACTGTGATACTTTGTTTCAAATCTTCACATCATTGTATCCTTTTCAATTTTTCTTTTGTTATACTTTTATCAAAATATTAGTTACTTATTTTCTAGATTTTATTTTTAACTTGTTATATTTTGAAATTTAAATTCAGAATCAATATATTACAAAACAGGAAAATAAGCAATTCCTATGCAATGAATAAAATCGGTAATTTATAAAACAACGTTAATTCCAATACTGATTTGTTTATGTTGAATCGTTGAATGTATTTTTGTAGTTATGTTATACATTATCGCCAGTTACTATTTATAAATCTATTATTTTCAGATAATATTGGAGGAACGTTCTTGCATATCATCATAGGTTCACACTATAGAAACATTTCCTGTTCATAATTTTTTTAATATAACTATTGTGATATATGTGTTTGGAATTCTTCTGCATACAAATGACACATTTGCATTAATTTGTCTCTTTCACAAATAGTATCTTCGACGGTATTGCAGAATCTGTAGGACGCATGTGAAGTATCTCAGTTTATGTATATGCAATTGGTTTTACATAAGAATAAATGAGGACATGATTTTTTTCTTTCTGGAACAATTATTATGATATATGTGAGTGAATGTCATTCTCAGACTCGTCCAGATCATTAATGTCTGACAAAAGTGCCATCGCTAATAATGTATACGGTAATTATAATGAAATGATGAATTATTGCTTATATTTGAATAAACATTGCATTAAAGTAAACGAGTTTGCGATAACAAAAGGATTGTTAATCTTCATACCACCTACAGTGAAACTTTTGAAGATAAATGATTTTCAGTCGTTATGCCAATTGTTCAATTATGAACGTTCTGAAAAAGCACAGTTCTTTTGGTTTGGCTTAAAAATAATTCCAATATAGGCAAAGGTGCTTTACCGCCTTCACAAAATGCGATGAGGAAGGAGAAAATCAAACAAAAAAGCATGAACTAGTTTTCAAGGAATATAATGAAATGGAAGAAAGTGTTATGTTTTTTGCGGTATATTGTAATAATAAAGAAGAAAGTGATACATATCATGAAATTATGAAACAACAACACAAATTAATTGGCGCTCCGGGGCAACTTCATTGATTCCAGTGGCGCATTTGCTTTTTCAGCTGCAGGAAATCCTAGAAAAACCTGCAGCATCACATCATCTGATGATTTTGATCTGTCAATGTCCTCTTTTTCATAAAACAAAATGAAGGGTGTCTCCAGAGGCTCCAATAAATTCAAAACATCGCCAGAACACTGGTGACAGAAATATTAAAGAAATACTGAAAACAAAAGGACGACTACAAGAGAAAATATGGAGAGCAAAAAATATTGAAGGTGGAGAAGATATTGAAAAACGTAGGTTACACATGGAACAAAGGTAAAACTGATTGATAAGTTACAGGAAAATTTTCTGAAAAAATAGTGAGAATAGAGAAATGATTGTCCTATTGTCCATATTGCCAATATGACAGGCAATATGGATTTAGCGAGGCCAAGTGGTACACTAGATGATGCTACGGATCACGGGAGCCTCTGTGTTTTTATTGATTTGGCCAAGGCATTTCGTACCGTCTTCCATATACAATTGTGAAGAACTATGGAAAATAAAGGCTTTACAGGAATCACAAACAATGCGTTGAAGTTAATAATTCATGGAGTAAGGATAAAATGACTGAATATGGAGTATCACAAGGAACGGTATTATGTCCGATTATATTTAATAAATACATGAACAACATGTTTAGTTACGAATTGTTCGGTTTCTAAAAAACTTTTCAAGCGAACCTACATATTTTCTTTGAATTTTTTGACAAGACTTTACTTGTATAGTGTTTATTATGATATTAATGAATTGTTCTTTCATGCATGAAATGAATAGTTATCTAAAATTACAGTGAGGTACGAAAATTTACATCAATATTGAAAAAATCACGATTGAATAAAGCGAAGTTGAAATTTCAATTTCCCAATTTCGATACGATGTGTAAGTGGAGCATATACCTAGAGGAGAGAGTTGCCAACAAAATTTCCATGTACTCTGGAAAATCGAACGAAAAAACTCTTGCTTTTATATGACACCCGACACTCCTAAATATCATCTGTGACACTGTGGAAATCTTTCTCAAATTCAGGTTTTTTTCTTCTTTTATCACTCCAAGTAAAAGCTGCAACATCCAGTTTGCTGTCAGTTCATAATTTTTTTTTAAGTTCAGGAGATACAGCATTGAAATTGACCAAAATAACTTAAAAAACGATTTTGCGATAGCACCAATTTTTGGTTTATGGCTACATACATGCAATATATACATGGACGGTTAAAACTTTCACAAGATCTATACAGAAGTGAGGTATCGCCCTTTTCATAGCAATTTATTGAATCAGAGATCAAACGCTGTCAGATCAGAAAGAACAAGAACTTTCAGTTCTCAACTTGATGTGAATGTGAAAAATGAAGTGAACTAACCTATAAAATCACAATGATGAATCCGTCTTTTCTCCAATTCCGGATTATTTCTCCTATTATATTTCACCCCGGTCGATAACCGTGGCACCGTTGCAGCCGGCGTTTGGTGAGGGCACCCCGGCGCGGGGTAGGGTGGGGGTGGTGTCCTCCGAGGCAGCGCTCCACCTGGAGAACCGGGTTCCGAACTGGGGGGCGTCAGCGGGGAAACATACATGAGCCGCGAAGGCATGGGGTAGAGAGCGTTACCAGGCGCAGGACCTGGGACTACGTTGTTATATTTGTACTGGTTGTTGTTGTTGAGGTGCGGATGATGGATCGGCTGCTGGGGGGGCTGCTGGTGATAATGGGGAGCTGCTTGCTGGGGACTGGTAGGTTGCGGTTGGTTGTATGGGCTGGTCGGTGTGCCTAGAAGGTGCAACGTCGGGCCTGGTTGTTGCAGAACCTGTAATAGCGTTACAAATAATTATCAAAATGCAATTATTATGATTCAGATTTTGTAATTTGTAATTATAATTTTTGTTGTGGTTTCTAATATAGTAATACTGTTGAAATCAATAACATAGCTTTTTTCAACAGACTCACATGAAATTGGACTTCGGCATCGCTTTTTGCTTTCAATTAGACCTTAGACCCTTTTGAAGAACTGCTCGAACAGCGTATCAGAACCGAAGACACTACCCATGAAAGCCGATTGTGATTTTGTTAAAAATCATAGACTGATATTGGATCCCTCACTGAAATTTTTGTACATATCTCATCATTCTGAGACAGGGGATATTGTTAAATTGAAAAAAATTATCGTAATAGTGAGTTTTTTCGGTAGAAAATCTGAACAAATCTTATGCGAAGCTCTTGTGCTTTCGCATGCTTACCATGCTGACGTGGTATATGCCCCTTACGTTTTACAATCTGTTAAAAGAAGACTACAAGTCTTGCAAAACTCATACCCGAGGCTCTTCATTGGCACTCGTAGACAAGATCATGTATTCCATTATCAAATTACCTTACGATGAGTTGAACATGGAGGAACGGCGAATTTTTCATACATGCACTTCCATTCAGAAAATTATTAGTCTATTGAAACCTGTTTATCTTTTAAAATGAAATAACATTCAAAACAGATGTTCATAACTCGAACCTAAGATACAGAAACATGATCACATCTCCACAGAGGCTCATTTTCATATTACGCTACTTGGCTATACAATAGGCTACCCAAAGAAGTCAAGAGATCATCATCTAATTCAAGGTTGTTTATATATTTTCATCAAGTGTCGACCGATTGAATCCCGCCGATAAAATCCCTAACATTATTGGTTTTAAGTGTTAAAACTGTAGTTTTCATATTTTTAATCTTTTTTCTCTTTTGTTATATCACTCATATATGTGTTTAATGTGCTTCTGTTATTATATTTCGTGTTTGTGTGTGCATACATAAAATGTATATACGTTTATTGGTTGGACGGAAGAACAAGGTAGGTATGAGTATGACACTTCAGTCGCAGACAGAAATTGAATCTTGTGATTTGATAGGGTCATATTTTAACATATTATTATCATTTATTTTCATATACATTTTTCTATCAACAAAATCCATTATTATTAATAATTTATTGTTCTATATCCAGTGGCGGATTTATAAATTTTTAAGATATAGGTTGTATAGTTTTTACCGCCCTTTCCTCTACAATTGTCATGTTGAATTGCACGTGAAATAATTTTTGGGTATATTTTTGAGCTAATCAAAGCTCAATCATATAGCACTTGAATTTTTACCCTTTTCAGACAAGAAGTGGAAATGCATTTTCTACAATTAAGGCTTTTTCACTCATACAAAGTGTGAGCAGAGGTCGATTATTGGTTGGGAGGCGGCGAACTAGCTGTTTTACTCTAGAATATGGAATTGGTACTTTCGGAATGTGGAATGACAAGTGAGAGAGGAAATTCATCGGCAAAATTTGTTGCAGACTTCCATCTGTAAGACATCAGAAAACCGTCATGTCGAATCTTTTTGATTTTCATGACGTAACAAAAAAAATCGATCTCCAAATCTGCCGCCCTAAGCTCAAGCCTACTCAGTCTGCTGGTAAATCCGCCACTGTCTATACTTCAGTACTACTGCTGTTTTTGACGGCATTTTTATAAATTGTGGATTTATATTTTAGCAGCACTCTTTCCCTCGAAGATGGAAGCATGCCGTAGATGTCATGATTCCGAAACTGGGTCAGAACCCGCTGTTTCTCCAGAAACACCGTCCGATTAGTCTGCTTTGTTCAACAGCTAAATTGGCTGAACGTGTTGTGCTGTAAAGGCTAACAGAAGACGTTGAAGACTGAAATGTTCTGCCTGACGAACAATTCGGCTTCAGAAGGGCACACTCCACCGAGCTGCAGGCCCTGAGACTGGTAGAAAATTCCATCTCAGAGCTGAACAACAGGAAGACAGTCATCACGCCCTCCTGGACATTACAAAGGCCTTCGACCGAGTCTGGCACGAAGGCCTGCTACATAAAATGCTCTATTTCGATCTGCTTTGGGATCTGGTCAGGTGAATTAGGTCCTTTCTGAAAGGTAGAACATTTCTGGTTCGAGTTGAAGGAACCCTCTCTCCTGTCAGGGAAATCCAAGATGTAGTGCCTCAGGAAGCTGTGCTGCATCCACTACTGTACAGCCTTTACGTCAGCGACCTTTCGAGGTTCGATCACGTGACGGTTAGGTTAGATTAGGTTAGGTCAGGTTGGACGACCTCGAACGCTGGTACCTCGACTGGAAGATTCGGGTGAACCCAGACAAAACTCAGGCGATAGATTTGTGGAGACGTAACGTTTCTCCAGACACAAGGGTCACGATCTCAGGCAGGGAGATCGAATGGCAACCGCGAGTCAAATACCTAGGTCTTTAGATAGATCGCCGACTCACCTGGGCAAATCACATCGCTTACATGTCATATTTTAGAGTCTTGTTATGATGCTTGTTTTGGAGTGTGCTGCTGGATATTGATAAATTTAAAATTATGTAAATTTGCTCTCTCCAACCCATTAGAGAAATATTGTATGTGCTGTATCGAGAAAGTACTACTCCGAAAACGTTTATGGAAGCGAAACTGACGTGACGTTAATCAGTCAGACGCATGATCAGTCTAGAATCAAGTGTCCCCATCTAGCACTCTCTCAAAAAGAAACCATGTGAATTGACTGAAGATGTATGGATATGTTACATGATGTTACAAATATTCTGACCGACACACAAATCAGAAAGATTTGTGTGAATAGTTGAACTGAGATTTACGTATTTTTTCGTATGAAGGTCCGCATCATGCGATCGAAAAAAAAAGGTGTCATTCTGCGAGTGGCGGATTTTGAAGTTACAATATCTTCGTAAGTAGATCTGGGTGCCAGGTTTTGACTTTCCTGATCAGCGAATAAAAATACGTAGGTTCAATTCCAAATTTTTCAAAAACTAGTATGAAAATAAAATACGAAATTTCACCGTTGAAATCTGTTGCAAATTTTGAGAGCTATTTTCTTACTCACCTTTTCCGTCTTTATCTCTAAGGGTGACAATAAAGGCGAAGGGGTTCCCGAAACGCAACTGGCCGTCAAATCATCGACCACCTCCAATTTGACGTGTCCCGGACTTACACCCAACATATTCGCGTTTTCCGGGTCTATGTTCTGTATGCTGCTGGCGATGTCCTCCCACAGCGCCGGCGGTCGCAGGAAGGCATCGTCTTCTGTCCTCATCGACAGAGACGATACGTAACTCATGGCGGATTGATGGCGATTGTTGTTGTTGTTTGCCGGTTCGAAAAAGTCATCGATTTGGGAAACGGAATCTCTTCGAGGTTTTTCTAGTTCTTCCTCCAACCTGCGTTCCCACTCCTGCTTGCACAGGAATGTGTCCAGGTCGCTGGTCTGAAATAAAGATCGATGGTGTTAATGTTGATTAAATTTGAGTGCAAATAACGCTTATTTCATTAAAAATGTTTTTTCTAAACTAATATTATGAAGAGAAAGGCATTGATTTTTTATTTATATGGATAAACTCATAAATTATGACGGTGGTCCCAAAAGTACCCGACCTGACCCAGAGATGGCGGTAGTTGTTTGAAAAAATAGCACTGTATTAGAAAGTACACTATCTGTGAAGCATATGTTTCAAGTTTGAAGACGGTGCGTTGTTTATTATTTGTTTGGCAGCCATCAATAGCGAACGTTTTCGGTCAATTTGCTAAAACGGGGAAAATTGGTCATCGTTATGTGGTACAATACTTTTATTTGAAAGACCTCAGCCCAACCACTATAAAAGCTGAACTGGATTCTACTCTGGGTGAGTCTGCTCCTTCTTTCATAACAGTAAAATAGCGGGTAGTAGAGTTTAGACGAGGTCGTACGTGCTACCAAGACGAGCATCGCAGTGGTCGACCAAATAAGGTGAAGACTCCAGACATGGTGAAAAAAATCCGCAAAGCGGTACTGAATGATCGTCGACTGAAAATGCACGAGCTAGCTAACATTTCAAAAAGTGACTATCAACGGCGAGTTTTATGCGAACTTATTGCAACGTTTGAGTGAAGAACTCAAGCAAAAACGGACACATTCAGCTAAGAAAAAAGTGTTGTTTTATCAAAAAAATGCACCAGCTCACAAATCCATTATCGCAATGACCAAAATTAACAAATTGAAGTTTCAATTGCTACCTCATGCACCCTATTCGCCAGATTCAGCTTCGTCGAACTATTTTCTGTTTCCATACTTTAAAAAATGACTCAGTGGTCAAAAATTCTCCAACGATGAAAAAGTGATATCGGCTGTTGATGGCTATTCTGAGGAGTAAGACAGTTCTTATTATAAAAACGGTATCGAACTAGAAAAGTCTCCTCTGGCTGTTATGTGGTTAGAGTGATTTATAAAGAATTGAGGTTCAGCACTGCAAAGATAGACTCATAGATTCTCACTTACGCCACGGAATACCGTTTTGGGGAGCATGCAGTCCAACTTTATTCAAAAGTCTACTAATTTTACAGAATAGGGCAATAAGGTATTTAGGAAACCTTAAACCGAGAGACTCCTGTAGAACCTTCTTCAAAAAACATAATATTCTAACGGTAACAGCATTATTTATAGATACTGGAATCTGTGTATTTCATAAATCAGCATATATTAAATATTGCTGCATCCTCTTCCCATTATAACACCCGAAACAGCAGACACACTCTGAAACTCACTATGCCAACTAAAAACAACACCAGAGACTCCATATTTTATAACGGTAGAGAAATGTACAATCATTTGCCTATGGACATATGATTTGCCAATATAAATGACTTCCAATTCAGGAAGTTAGTCAAACAATTTCTATCTATTAGACCCGGCTCATATTTTTCATCTTTATTTATTAGGTTGTTACTTTTTATGTCAACTTTTTTATAAACTTGACTTTTATTCTTTTATATATATAAGTCTTTGCAATTATACGAATATGATCTTTCTTTTAGAAGTTACGACAGATATAAAAAAAGTTGAACTATATTTCACGATTTAAAATTTTGACTTTAAGATGTGCTAGTTTGAAGCCGGTCGAAACGATGGTTTGTTAAAATATGGTCTTTCAGTTAAATTCAATTTTGTACAGTTTATTATATATTTTGAACATAAACTCCTAATTTCCCAAATGTAAAAAATACCGTTAGGTCTGACATATGAGTTTTTAACTACGCAGGCGACGAATAGATTTTTCACAATTTTGATGTAAGCATCGGTGGTTCAGTGGTAGAATGCTCGCCTGCCACGCGGGCGGCCCGGGTTCGATTCCCGGCCGATGCACAGTTTTTTTATTTATTCATTTCAAAATCGAAACAATCAATTCATCATTTCGAAAGCTATGACTGGCGTTTTGTATTTTATAGTTTCATTCACTTTAGGCGTGACCGAACAGAACATATGTCCAGTCTGACAGATATGCCGTGTTGACACCCCCAAAATAAATGAATGAAGGCAAATAACAATAAATTATGACAGTTCGAAGAACAATTGAGGTGTCGGCGAAAGTGACGAGGCACAAAATAACATCGCCGACACAGCGTGGTATGAGTTTGTTTACATGAGTTTAAAATCACCCCATTGTGAATTGAGAACATATGAGCAATATATTGATTACGCTTCGTTTGAAAATGACAGTGATTTTCCGTCGCACTAACAGAAATACAATGAAACAAAAACAAAATTGATGAGGGAACACAATGAACCAATTATACAGTGCTTTTCTTTAATGCCCCCCCTTTTGAACGAGTCAACTTAAAAAAATTGAAATTTGAAATAATGAAATAATGCATGAATACTTTATTTTGAAGTGAACTTGACAGATGAAACTTTCAAGATGGCGACTGGGCGCCATATTTAATATGATGTCAATGCCTAGAATATAATGTCAATATGTTCAACTACAACAAAATGGCGGAACTTTCAAATAATTGCCTGGATACATTGTCATTTAACTACATAATATTAGGTAATAAACTTGAGGTCAGTTCAGAAGATGCTCGAAATGGTTGCTTTGAACTTCTTGACATATGAATAGCCTATCCGATATTTCACGCCAAACATTTTCGAACACAGTAACGTCAATATCTCTACAAATATTTATTATTCTCTGTCGTATATCTAATATTGAAGCAGGTTAAGTTTCGTAAACCTTTTGCTTCAAATAGCCCCATAAAAAAATTCAAAGGTGTCAAATCTGGCGAGCGGGCTGGTCATTCGGTAGGACCTTGACAGACAATCCAACGACAGGGAAAAGTAGTATCCAAACAGTTTCTTACTTGTCTGGAGTAATGTGGTGCGGTGCTCCATCTTGTTGGAATACAATATCCATATCGAATTCATTAGGATTCGCTTCGACGATTTTAGTGATGAGAGGGTCAACAGTAGTTTCCAGCATATTCAAATACAGTTCCCCCGTTAAATTTTGATCAATAAATAGAGGTGAGGGTTGGTGTCACTCCAATAACGGCAATTTTGTCTGTGAACATTGCCGTTTAAAAAAATCCCCAGAAGATTTTCTTCACAAATTAGCAGAACAGTGGATGCGAATTTCACAAGTAAGTTAATATCATTAGGAAAAATTATTACTAATTTTATCTGAACTAAGATAGTGAGATCTTTACTATTTTTCCATTCTAAAATGAAGTCATTCATTGAAACCTAATTACCCAAAAAAGATAAATATGGAAAGCAAACTTTTCGACCAGAATAACCGATTTTTGTTCAAATTGTTTTTTTATTATTGATTGAATTTTAGCAATAATTGTTCATAGTTCAGGACGGATTTAACAGCCTATTTTTCAAATTTTGAAGGGTTTTCCGAAAACCATTTGCTTCTCTAAAAGAATACAAACAATTGTCATTCAAACAATGTTTCAATATGTTTATAAGTTAATCTTGTAATAGAATCCAACACCCTTTTCCCATACTTCATAAATGTGACGCTCTTTTCGACGCATATTTCAACAAGTTGGCGTCATCAGAAGACGGAACTATTCCAATTCCTGAAATCTAACTTCGATTATTTTCATTCCCAACAGTTCAGATACAGGGTGGCCAAATGAAAAAGGAACAAAAAATGTTGATCTGAATCAATAGTATAATGAAGATCCTACTGTTGTCATATTTCAACAGAACATTGCGCTTTGCAGCAAACCTTGGCTGTTGGTTAGTACTTCGAGCAACATTTTCTACAACACTGGTTTGTGAGAAGCAGCATTGAATGGCCTCCACGGTCACCAGTTTCGTCGCCCCTTGATTTATTTTCATCGAGGATAGCGGATTCTACTAGGCACCACCCACCGGCGTCTGGTCCAATCATGTGCCAGAACATCAAATTAGAAAATCGCCTCCACTCAATATTGAAGACTCATCAGAAAAGTGATAATTCCAGTTGATAATCGTGAAATCCTGTTTCCAGGATTCAAGTTATTATCGTCAGCAACAATAAGTGGTAAAGTAAAGCGGCTTTAACTAAAAGTTGGTGAATTCAAGCATTTTGTTTCTTGTTTTGAAATATTAAATTAGTCACAACTGCAGTGGTAATTGCTCTTTTTGAATGTAACAATACTTTCCTCAACTGTATTTGAATTCTACATTAATTTTACTGTGCTCAGCAATGCGTTTTTTAATCGGTACTATATCATAATGGATCATAACGGATATGACATTTCTTATTAAAACTTTGAAGTTCAAATTTAGAATCATGTTTTGAATTATGTTATTTGCAAATGTGGACGGCAAATAATATAATTATTACCACCCTTCAGAAACGCATCTTATTCAGTTCTTCAAATCATGAATCATAACGTAACAATCTTTCACAATATAAATTTATTTCCAAATGTGAACATTGAAATGTCAGCTTGAAATTGTCAAGCAGTGTCACTTGGTGTGTACTTAGCGCCTCTATGAAAGGAAAACCAAAATTTATTGGATATTTTTATTAAGAGTTTCTTACGAAATAGTTTACAAATAGAAATGGTTTAACTGATCGCCCTAGGGTGTTTCTATACATATTGGTAGGTATCAAGACATTTGGTAAAACCATGAACAACATGGTAAAAATATCAGTCTCTTGATTTCATGAAAACTAACAATCATAGCGAAAAACATTATACTGGAAACTATAGTGTTCTACACTATAGTTTCCAGTTGTATCTTCTAGTTTCAATCTAGTATATCGTAATTCTTATACCAGCATAGATGAGTATTAGTCAAAATATATGTAACATAACCCTTTAGGCGAATTATCGCTTTTGCCCATTGCAGACGCCTATAACATAAAAGGCTATGTCGAAAATCACAATATACTTTCTTTTTTCGCCGAACATGACACAGTCGATTGAAAATCAGTTAATCGTTTTCAAATTACTCAATACCAATTGTCAGAATCAAGCTGGCTGAATGGAAAAAGTCTTGTAATACCCGAGTTTCGTGCTATATTTTATTGTTCCACAATCAATCAAACCAGGTGAGAACAACCGGCAAAAGTTGTTCGATGATGATAAAATGTATGCAGCAATCCCAGCGGGGTTCTTTTTAAATCGCTTTCCCTTTGTTCTAATTACCATACAATAACGTCAAAAGGTGCTGCGCTCCTGCTGGGTATTCTCGTGGTTCGGAAATCACGAATTCATCAAAACAATAATTGAATTTTAATTGTTGCCTTATAGATTTTTTTTTTGAACTATTCGTGTCGCTTTCTCAGAAGGGAAAAATATTTACAAGCTACTCTGATGATTCATTCACAATGCGACCCAAACCCACAAGAATAGGAGAGGTGTTATGAGAGTTCAATGTCTTTATTCACATTCTACAGAAGTTGACTCTAACAATATTCTTGGAAGAATTGTCAAAAAAAGAATACATATAGACCTGGCACGGGTACAAAACTACAGAACACAGCCCATGGACTCGAAAAATAACTTTGACACAGTTATCTACAGTCGTGAAAGTTTATATTTTTTGGTCTATATTTTATTCATCTGATACTTTGTGTTGGACGTCTTTTGAATATAATAACATAACCTAGACAATTAATAGAAAGTTACAGTGACATTGACCAGAGGTCAAAAACAAAGCATTTTCACCTTAATCCTGACATTGCTGTTTTGACATTCCGTAGGTCTCAGCAGTAGTATCAGCATAAATATATCTTTGAAGAACAATCCTTAATACAAAACTATGAACACCACGGCGAATTGTTGCATATTAAAGATTTGGCATCGATCTCTGATTGACAAATCGTTTTCTGTCTACCTCTGCAGCTTTCACTGCTAGCCGGTAACTAGATTCAAATCCAATGTGAATCACTACTTTCGCACAGGCAATGATCTCAGAGCGCCTTGGGGATTTTCCTCTAGTGCTTGTGTTTTGTCCTTAAAAAAAAGATAAAATCGTATCCCAAAATCATATATCTTCCCACTCGTAGTGAAAACAGCAAAGAAAGACAAAAAACCTGAAGGACATCTATGCCAATTTTCGAGTGAAACAGTGTTGAAGTTTCTTCTCTTATTTTTCTGAAATACCTAGAAGAAACATAAAAGAAGCGAGATGGCACAAAATATTTTGAAGCCACTAATATCATCATTTTCTGGATCACTTCACACTCGTTCAAGTTGCTTTCTGGAACGAGCTGGCCACCCGGCGCATTCGGTACACTTTATAGTCAGGAAATATTTTCGTTCTCTCTCACCATTTTCTCTGATACCATTACCAATCCTCTCTGAACTTACAAGTACCTTTACGAAATAAAGTTTCATACAATTTTTAGGTTTCACTTCATTCTTCTCAAAAGTAAATAATTCATAAGTGAAATCGCACCGTCTTAGGAATCACACGTTGAAAGGTAAGACCTCGTTAGACCTTAGCTCGCACAAGTTTCGACTTTTGAGAGTTGTTGTTGGTATGGGTGCGATAAGTGGTTAACGGAAAAAACATATTTTAAACATATTCAAACCATGTACCTTGAAACTCTTTGAAGATTATCATTTTTTTGTTAATAGAAAACTGTTTATCCAAAGTGGATGATGCTCAAAATGCTGACCTCCTCCAATAGCCCAAAAAAACTGGATACGGAAATACAATGTTTTATCTACTTTATACCGTAGATTTGAAGGTCCGTGGCTCGAATATATGGTTGAAATCTATCAGTCAGTCTATGAATCCCTCATAAGCTCGAAATACATTATGGATATTATAATATCAATCGTTCAATAAGAAGTTGAGATTTGAAGTTCTGTGCTCCATACAAGGAGAAAATAGTGTACCCTCATTCAAATTTAGTGGGGAACAGCCGTCATTAAACTACTGTTATGGAGTATTAGCTCATATCACCCCTGCTATCCCCACGATCCCCACTAGTGTAGTGTACGATATATTAGCCAGTCGAGACACTATTACCAGACCAAGAAATGTGATTACAATCAACTATGAACTCAGTGGAAATTCTGAAATCAATTATAACGTATTCAAATAACACTTTATTGTGAGATCTTCGTTCAACAGGTCACAAAACTGAATACTGAAGAAGCTATTATATACTGAAACACGTGTCGCCATTTTGTAAACTGCTAGGAATTTTATTGGACCATATATTGAATTAGAGCTCACAAAATAAAGAAAAACATAAAATTCCATAAAATGAAAGACAGCTGAATGTCAAATTCTTTATAAAGATCATTAGAACAGAATCGGGGTGGCATTGACGTGCTTCAGAATTACTCATTTCCGAAAATTGCCAAAGGTGGTTTCTGTATCACGTCAAAATTTTTAGCTATTTTTCAACAAAGAAAGTATATTTGAAATATATAGTAGGTAGATAAAAAATCGGGAGTGGAACAGACTAGGTCTCAAAAAAACAATATCATATGTTGAATAATGTGCTAATATAACTTATTCAGAAGAGAACCAGTGATAATAACTCGTCTGCAAATCGAACAAACGCGGCAAACCAATAGTTTCATGCTTAATGGAAAACGACAAACTAGATGTGATCCCTTCAGAAGAATAAATACAGTGGAACATATACTGAGCTGTAAAGAAAAAACTAGTTGAAATGAGCGAGATATTAGCGAGATATTAGCAAAATTTTGCACATATTTCAAAATTTAGAAATGAATTTATCTAGTGTAAATAGACCTGATCACTTCAGTAGCTGAAATCTTTCATTTTCATGCGTCTCCATGCGTAACTTTGGATATATGTCAAGTTTCTTGGATATATCTGCAGGGATACCTCAAGATTCCATTCTTGGTCCTACGTTTCTCGTAATCAACACGTCTCAATTTCCAAAATTTTTATCCCACTGAAATTCATAGCTATGCTGATGACATCCAAATTTATAAACGATTTTCGGAATCTTCTGTAGCACTTGCTTGTGAGCAAATAAATGCAGATTTAAAATCCTTACTCACAACCTCAATGAAGAACTGCCTGGCGATCAATCCCTCAAAAACAGTAGTAATGCTATTTGGTCGAACAGCAATGAGAAAAAGATGTGAGAGAAATATTGATATCGTTCTGCAGGAGCATCAGTTGCCTTTGACAGAATCTCCGAAAAATCTTGGTCTCGTAATTGACCAATCCCTCAAGTTCAACTTTCATTTCTCTCAAATTATCAAATGTGGCTATAGTAATTTGAAATCAATATACTCAAATAGGAAGTCATTGAATCAAAAATCGAAGAAAATAATATGCGATGCCCTAGTTCTCTCTCACGCCAACTATGCAGATATAGTATATGGCCCAGCGTTACGTTTATCTGATAAACGCATGCCTCAGACTCATTACAGGAACTAGGAGGGAACAACACGTGTCTCATCATTTGGAGAGACTGAGATGGCTAAAAATGGAAGCTCGCCGCATATTTCATGCTTATATTACCTACCTTAAGATTATAACAACAAAAGTACCTAGTTATCTTCAAGACAAAATAAGATATAGAAAAGACATCCATAATTTGAATCCGAGATTCAGAAATCAACTAACTAGACCCTGCCACAGAACCACTTTATTTCGTGAATAATTCTCTTATAATATGGTCTGGCTTTATAAACGAATTCCCAATTCACTAAAATCACTCTCCGCGCTAGATTATAGCAATAAACTCAATATTGAATTATCGGAATACAAATTGCCTCAACTCCTCTGTGAACAAAATGATTTTGATGTAAATGAGCATTTCATACAGTTTGATTTTCACTACTTTTTTTTTATTGTTGTTGGTACTAACAGAAATGATCCTGGTGCAGTTGGCACTGAAATATATCTGGGATTTACGTATGTTGTGCATGTACACTATTTTTATTTATATTTTTTTCCAGGTTCAATGGAAGAGCAATTTCTGATTGACTCATTCGTGACAAGATCAGAAATTGAATTCTGCCTTTTGATAGATACGTGGGTGGATATTGTATTCCATACATTGTATTTTTTTCTTACCTATCAATAAATACAGCTATTATTATTATTCAAAAAAAACTTTTTAGTATGTTTTCCCAACGTTTCTCGTGAAGAGCGTTTATCAATAACAGTAATCACATTTTTCACAGCAAAATATGATGACGTGAAAATCATCTATTCCATATATCTGTAATATTCATCTTCCTATCCCCAACTTTTTCAAATGACTGTTTTTTATATGGGTATGTGATCACAATGTATATTTGTGATCGAAATATACTCCAACTGATCAAAGTTTGTAATTGTCAAAAAAATCCAAACGTAAATTGACACTAAAAAATGGGTGACATATCATCCTCAACTACCTTCTATATTTTGCTGCTTTTCGTGTCCATTTATGTGTTTTCAATATCCTCGTATACTTACATAGCCTCGCTATCGAATGTTGATCTATGGCAGAAGAAGAAAAACGATATTCACTTGACACGTCTGAAGCGAGACGCCACACTGGTAGATAACTGGACACAAAATATTACAATCAATATTTGCTGCCCCGAAAATTATCGGTTGAATGAAAAATTTGAATGTGTCGAAGCAAAAAAGGGAAATTTCACCGAACAATATGAAGAAGTATGGAAAAATCTTGTAGTCGATGGAAATCTGGCAGAAAGTTTCATAAATTCATCCAGAATCATTTTGAAGTACAACAATAGCAACTTCCTTTCTGCTGACGATAAGTACGGTAAGGTTTTTATTTGAATAGCTTCTATCACGAATATTTCATGAACTGGAAAGAAATATGGAGAAACTTGGGGGGTGTTTATTTTCAAAATACTAAATTAAAAAAAATTGTTTGTTGTGATTCAAAGGAGAATAAAGTTGTGCTTCTATGTTACTGAAAACATGCTGCCTAGAGAATTTCAAAACTTTTAAGTATTTCCAGGAATAATCAGTAAACTCGAAAATTTTAGAAACAACATTTTATAGCTCAGTAAGAAATTACGCATTTAAATTAACATTTTTTCCTTACATCCCATGTTTCATTTCTGAGTCAACATCATGGACTTTATTTTCTCTTGGAAAACGTCATTTCGGAAGCTCATTTGCCTATTCAGTAATTCATTAAAATTCACGGGCATTGAATTTCTTATATGTCACTGTCTTGTAAATGTCATTTAATTTTTTATGTATCTTCGGCATCGACTATGTTGGTCATTAACCTCGTGTCCTGGATAGGCAATGTTAATAACTATTGTAGATTATACTCGAAACTGTGGATAGTAGTGAAATAGCGAAGTTGAAGTAGAACTTTAATAAACTTAAGGAATACAAATATATATGTGGCAGTCAAACTTTGAATTAAAAATAATTGACAAACTAAACTTCTCAATAGCAACATTTAGCAACCACATAAAACTATACAGGATAACTATAAGCTGCAATTCAGTTCATATTCCAACACTGCCCCTTGAACTGAAGTGCAGTGGTCTCTTAGTAACACCCAGTAGATCTCTCAGCTTCTCAAAACGAGTTCTGCTCAGTGGTTTGGTGAGAATATCCGCTATCTCATCCTCGCCTGCTATATGTCGTACTTGAAATATACCTTCTTGTACTTTTTCTCTAATAAAATGGTATCGAACGTCTAAGTGCTTGGATCTTTTATGAAATTCTCGATTGTGAACCAACTTTACAGCACTAGCGTTGTCAATCCATAATATTGGGATGGTCTTCACACATGTATGAATTTCATCAAGAAGACAATTCAACCAGATAATTTCTTTAGCGGCTTCACTGGCTGCAATGTACTCTGCCTCCATCATTGATAATGAAACTGACCGTTGTTTTCGACTAAACCATGTTAGTGCACCTTGATTTAACTTGCAGACAAATCCAGAAGTTGACTTACGCGAAGATAAATCACCTGCATAATTGGAATCACTGTAAGCTTGGAGAGAACGTGTATCAGCTTTATAACTAATGCCATAGTCAGTTGTCCCTCGAAGATACCTCAATATTCTTTTCACTATCTCCCAGTGATGATACTTCGGTTTCGACACTGCTTGTGCTACAAAGTGAACAGCAAAGGCTATATCAGGCCTTGTAGCTACTGTTAAATACATAAGACTGCCTACGGCTGATCTAAAAGGAATATTTGGAAGAATATCCTTATCTTGAAACTCATCGCCAATTTGACATTTCTCAATTGGTGTTTTGACAGGATGACACTGACATAAATTGAACTTTTGTCAAAGTTTTTTAATGTATATTTCCTGGTTCAGAAACACACCTGCGTTTGATTTATTTATTTCAATCCAAAGATATCTTCTTGCTGTGCACTCAGTTATCTTAAACTCAGTTTTCATCTCATTGAGAAATTTCTCAATGCTTTTTAAATCAGTTCCCAATACTAATCCGTCGTCAACATAAATTACAACAAGTAATTGATGCGGTTCTTTTGTGATAAATAAACATGCATCTGATGAACTTTGCTGCAATCCTTTTTTCTTCAGAAATTCGGTGATGCGCAAATTCCAACAACGAGGTGCCTGTTTTAAACCATACAGACTACGCAGTAACTTGCATACCTTGTCAGTACCGTCGTGATAGTTATCCGGTTGCTCCATATAAAGTTCTTTGTCTAGTAATCCGTATAAAAAGGCCGTCTTCACATCAAATTGTGTACTAGAGAAAACAATATACGGTAAATTCTTTATTTCAGAAGTAAAGAAACCTGAAACTGTGTTCAGCTAATTGAAGAGGATAAAAAAATCAAAAAGACCTTCAAAAGAAAGGAAATTATAGCTATATAATTATAATTATATCATAGCTTCCTCGGTAGCTTTCACAGTCGCTTCCTCATTCATTTCTAGTTAAGTTGGCGTATTTTTCCGAACTGAAAGAAAAATAAGTGAGGGAACGTTAACCACCCATTAATAAAAAAATTGTGTAGGAAGGCTTTCTGTTGCAAATATTACCTAATTCGGTTAAAAAATTCACAACTCACCCCAAAAAATGTCTCTAGTTCCTTCCTTCCACCCAATACGTTGACAATTAGGGAAAATAGGAAGGTAAAGTAGGAAAATGAAGAAAATATCTTCCCAAAATTGTTTCCAAACAAACAAATGATTAAATTCAAATGTATCACGAACCAATGAAATAATAATATATCATGAGCTCCGTCTTTCATTAACTCAAGAAACATTTTTACGTAGCAATACGGTTCGTTTTCCTTAAAAAAAGTGCGCAGTTGCCGAACTGTATAATTTGTACCTGTATTTACGAATTTCGAGCGATACGGAACAGTTTCGTTGAACTACTGATAATACAAATAAGGTCAAAAATTGAAGCAGACACATCAAATGTTGGCAACTTATCGAAATCATAATGAGTTTCAGTGGTACAGTGGAGTTCAACAAAACCGGCCTCTCATTATTTTTCTCAACAAGATGGTAGTCTTTTGGAGCTGAATCTCAAACAGCACGAGGTACTTTCGAAGTTTTCTTCTGCTTCATTCTGTCTTGATCGAATCAGAAATGCAGAAAGGTGACTACGAATAAATATATTCATTTATACTGTCGAAATATAATGAACGAATTTTCAGAACCTTTGTGGCTATTGTGACGCCATGCGAAGAAGTTATGTGCATACAAAAATGCTGCAAAAAAGGCTTTTACTACAATACAATTCAAAATAAATGCTTTGCTGAAAATGAAAACCAGATGACCAGCTTCAAGCCAACATTTTTCAATAAAATCGAGGAAATAGGAATGAATATATCACACTTTATAATAGAAGGGGTTCCGAAATGTTTTGGCCCCGATACTCAGATCAAGATTTACGAAAGTCCTTCACCAATTTATGTACAATGGAATGGTTCTCTGTTGACAGTCGACGAATTTGAAAATGTTTACTATTTTTACCACGGAAAAAAGTAAGTTTATCATTCAATGGTATACTGATGGGTTTAAAGATTACTGAATATTTTATCTTCGTGACATATACTTTTCATTCATCTAATTGAGCATTTTAATAGTAGGTAGGTATTGAATTCTCATAAATATTATTGCATTAGAACGAAAACGTTATTGTCAAGTTTGTGATTCTATATATTTTATCATAATTTTTCCTCATCTGTTTAGAATAATTTCCGTAAACTACTGTAAGAGACAGATCAGGACAAAAACGTCAGTCATTCCTGAGAATTTAGTGTCTACTATTTAGAAATTATTAATTTATTTTCAATACAAATCATTAAATTATAAAACATGTCCATGCATGTCTTAAATATATGTGAAAAATTTCCATATAATTTCAGTTTGTCCTATAGTAATATTTTCTTTGATACGTAACTGAAATTCATTTTGATAATAATCAGTAAATTTTATTTATTAACTCGTTTCGTTTCATACCTCTTGAATAACTTTGAATATCTAAAAAATTACATCCTTCCTGGTTCTTTGATGAGTTAAATAATGAAAAATGTTTCTGTAAGTGCAATGGTTCAGAAAATAATGGTGAAAAACTGGACAATATAAATTTCCATAATTGAATGGAACTGGCCGATACTTGATGAAAATCCATATTAAAACTGATTAATAGTTTATTGTATGACTTTCACTATAAAGGGTTTTACAAAAACCGCGGTTTTTGTGAAACAATTTATAGTGAAAATCATACAATATCATTTCACTGAACATAAATATGGTGCATTCTTTTGCAGGCCTTCAGCACCCCCACTGAAAAAATACAATATTTTCTACAGAAAACCCGATTTGCTTGTATTGAGTAGTTTTTATATAAATTTTCTGTTTATCCTAATTCAAAAGTACTTCAGAAGGATTTGTCGAACCTAATTTTTAGGAAATATTTGATAAAATCATAAAATACCAATGTGGGGGAGCAGCTTTTTGACTATTCGCAGAATTTTGTTGAATGGATCAAGAACTCTTTCATTCGGAGAACGACTTCCTGAGAACAACTTCCTGAGAACATTTTTCCAAATGGATATAATCTCCAGTGATTCAAATCCAATGTGAATCACTACTTTCGCACAGACACCGCTATAAGAGCGCCTTGAGGGTTTTCCTGTAGTGCTTGTGTTTTGTCCTTGAACTAGCTTTTCAGCTTAAGGAAGGGGCTGCATTAATTTCATAGTTAGTTCGACAGCAACTGTACTTTTTCTTGAAATTTAATGTTGATGAAGTTGAAATTCTCGATTTTTCCATTACGTAAATATAAACGATTTTGTTTTTAATATACTATATTTCCAAAAACAATACAAACATTCAGAGTACATTCAGAAACTCCAAATTTTTTTTACAGATATTGTATTGATTTGTTTTCTGATGGCACAAAAAATAACACCTATGTCAATGGGTTCTACTGTCAAAACGACACAATGGTCAAATATCCTTTTGGAACCAATACTGGTATGCCGAATCTTGAACCGAATGCAATAGTGGATGCTCAGAAAAAAGAAAACTTACCTGAGGGAAAAGTGGAAAATTTGAAAGATTCAATTGGAGAAGCTTTAGGGAATGTTGGCAACAAAATTGGAAATGTTGGGAAAAAGATTGCCCAAGTTGCTGTTGCAGCAAAGGATAAAACGAGTGAGGTCGGCAAAAAAGCAGTTTCTCGTCTGAGCCAAGCACGTAGCTGCGGCGAAATGTCAGTTACTTCTATGATTCTTGGAATGTTTACCTTGGTTAAATATGTATTTTAAATGTATGTTTACTTCAGGTCAGATGTGTTATATTAGAAACCACATAACAGATGTAATACAATGTTTCTTTAATATACGTTCGTTAGAAGTTTAACTTGCAAGTTTGGCGAACTGACATTTTTGAAACTAACCGTGATTTGAATGAATTGACAGTAATTTTTATCTTCTAGTTTCTAGAAAATGATTGAAAAATATGTATTTCAAATGTATGTTTCCTTCATGTCAGATGTAATACAATGTTTCTTCAATATACGTTCGTTAGATGATTAACTTGTATACAACTAGTATAACCACTACTTTTTTATTACTTTTGTCATTATCTTTTATACTCCGTAGATTTATAGGATGATTGATTCCAGTCTTGAAATGTGTGAAAAATACTCAGGAAGTAATCGGAAGAAATTTATCGGAACCATAATTACCCAAAATAAGGTTGAATACTTGAAAATCAAGTCAGAATATATTCGTTTTCGACGACCTTGTCATCCTTCAAACTGAAGTATGCAATTGAAAAAAAAACAACGCCCAACACCAAACTATAAGCTGTCAATGATTTTGCCGAATTAGGCAATAGCAACAATTCGAACTAACAATAATTTCCGAGATAAAATCTTAATCGTCGGGGCGTTCTTAAGTAACCAAATGGAAAACAATATCATTCAAATAATAAAACAATCACAGCGTCTGGTCTAGAAATAGTAATTCAAGTCCGAGAAAAACGTAATTGATCCATAATGATAGCAGAGAGACCTCATCTATAACGATTTCTCTTACCTATAAGTCGATCTACACAATAATAGTAAATAGTTGGTAGGTATCCATTCATCGAGACATTCCTGCAATTGGGTCAAGAATCGAGTTACCGGGATCGTAAAAACTAATGCTTGCATATATTTCTCGAAGGCGTATGCGTCTATACAAAGTGTACTCTGAGACAGAGGTTCTTTTTGTCAAGCTAGTTACTCAATTTCTAGACAAGCAATTTGTCCAGATCGTGATACGATCTGAGGCTATATGTTGATGATGCATGTCTAGCACACTCATTGCAATATTTTTTTGCCTGTAATTCCTGAGTGTCCTGGCACCCAGTTGAAATTGAGATTATTGATCCATTTTTTTGGTTCACTGTGCCAAATGTTTTCAAATGACATGCCAAAATCGTAATGATTGTGGAACTCGACACAACAGTCATGGATATCGTACGCGCATGACACAAGCAAATGCACAACACCTTCACAATCGCTAAACTTCACAATCACTACTTCGCAGTACAACTAGAATCCTTCTCTGACCGTATCACTTCGATTACTCGACTCAACACTCTCACGTCGCGTCGACACACTCCTTTCATATCGATAAGGAAGGTTAGAGTCTAGACACGAAGCGCGTGGAAAATTGTATCTCTGTATATAGACTATATACAAAGATTTTATTATTAATAGGGTATTTTCGCTTGTCGCTAAGAGATGGCGTCACTGTCCATGATTGAGTTGTTTCCTAGAACTGAATAGGTACCTAACTAACACTCTCTCGCTTATCTAGACACGTGATTTTTTCTGCGTCATTACGATCGCGGGCCGACTACTCTAAATGGTTCTGAATGGATCCTATAGGTCAGGACTTTCCTTAGGGTGTTTGAGGTACTGTACTGTTTTGAATTATAGGGAGAAGTTATTTAAAAAGTTAGATAAATATGAAATATATTTGAAAACAATAAAGAATGATATACGACAATAATACAGTACTTATATTATACTTCATGAGAGTGATGATTGTTGTATCGTTGCCAAGACCAGGCTGTGGTGCTGCGACTGAACTGTTTTTGTTTTTTCTTTTCTCAAAACACGTCTGAAAGTATTAGGATGTTAATAAATCTATCATCAGTCAATTGCAGAAATACGTACACCAAAAGCTCAACGGGCTTACCATAATTTTCAATAAATGAAATGGCATTAGCTCAACACCGTAACTGGGCGCACCCTTGTTCAATTCAATCATTTCTGTCATACTTGGCATATTTGAATTCGTTGTTGAAGAATAGTAATCTTTGGCCCAATTGAAATAATATTAATGCATCCTTCGAGATGATTTTTTTGAGGTCGAGTTGATTCGTTCAAATCACTTTTGAAGAAACATGTTGGGTTTTTGTTTCGACCTCTGTATCCAACGAGGGTTCATGTACTCGCATCTCCAGTTCTTTCTATCACTTCAAAGAAATTTCACCATCTCCGTAAATCCAAACGGTCGAAAACAGCCATCAGCTGTAATTTGCAATTACATATCCGCAGACACGTCCGTTGTTAACAGAAGTTTGCGGCTACGTGACTGAATGTCTCGCATCTAAGGTATTGTGTATGCGAACGTCTAATGTCATTGGTTTACTGCACGCCATTTAGATAAAATTTTATTATATGCATTTTTACGTTTTAATCGAAATAGTACATCAATGCTCGATTCTATGAATTCTGTTCTCGGGCCGTGAGAAACCACATATGCTTTTTTGATTTGAGAAAATTGTGATTCTCACCGCAGTCTTACAGAGATGAACATATAATTTGCAAATAAGGTGAAGCTTTTTTATGAAGTATTTTTATCACGTTTTGTAAACCATGTAGGAATGATTCGGATATTCATCGAACAATTTTCAACAAATGCCGTGATCTGATTATAGAAACATCTCGGTGCCACTGCGAACCTTCTTTTGAGCAGTTAATTATAAACTATGACACCAGTCTGTGGCTATAATAGAACATCAGGATGATTATACGTGTTGTGTTTCTATTCTGTGCTCTCTGTGCTAGGTTCTGTGTTCTCTGTTCTGTTTCGAGTTTTGTGTCTGTGTTGTTTTGTGTTTTGTATTTTTTGTTGTGTGTTATTAGTTCTATATTCCGTTTTCTACTTTCTGTTCTGTGTTTTATGTTCTGTATTATTTCGTGTTGTCTGTTGTGTGTGTCAAGAGTCTAGTGTCTGGTTTCTCGTATCTGGTGTTTAGTGTCGTGTATCTACTGACCACGGCTTCTCTGAGTGGAGAGCATCTGAAACGTCCAATTTTTCATTACTCTGGCGCATAAGTCTGGCTGAATTTGACTGATGGCATGAGTTATGTTGGCGATGAGGACCATTGTGGTTTGTTGCTTACTCACATACACCTGCGACTTAAGAAAATCCCACAAGGGTCAAATCACACGATCTCAGTGGCCAGTTCACATCACCTACATGTGAGATGACCATGCCCTCAAATCGCTCGTGCAGAATATCCAATTTGCAATGGCCTGCTCCGTCCTGTTGAAACCACATGTCGTTGATGTCCAGATCATCCAATTCAGGCCAAAAGAAGTTGGTAATCATCGACCAAAAGTGCTCGCCGTTGACACCAGTCGGTGACTATAATAAAACCCCAGGATGATTATATGTTTTGTGTGTTCATGTTCTGTGGTCTCTGTTCCAGGTTCTGTGTTCTCTGTTCTGTTTTGAGTTTTGTGTCTGTGTTGCTTTGTGTTTTGTATTTTTTGTTGTGTGTTATTTGTCCTGTGTTCTGTTTCCTACTTCCTGTTCTGTGTTTTATGTTTTGTATTGTTTCGTGTTTTCTGTTGTGTGTGTGTGTCTAGAGTCTAGTGCCTGCTGTCTCGTATCTTGTCAAATCTGGTGTCTAAAGTCGTATATCTAGTGTCTAATGTTTAGCGTTCAGAGTTTAGTGTCTATAATTTAATGTCTAGTATGTTTTCTTTGTGATACTCCGTCATCGCCCATTGTTAATTTGAATTGTGTGATGAATAAAATGTCGAAACAAAGAAATAGTTCATTTAGTGAATTTTCTCCTAAGTAGAAATATTGCCAAGTGTATTGCAATTTGAATACTATTATATTCATAGCAACTGAAGACTCCAAAGCGAATAACTCTATCTCGAATATAAATAGAGAAGGTCAGACAGATTATTTTAAATCCTATCACGTGCCCATGTACTTTTTTATTGGTAGGTCAGTTCAAATCATCCATTACTGTTCTACTGAATTTATTACTATTAGACCTAATTCACTGCGATTTTGAGCCGAAACAAATATATTTATCAAACTGGTAATTATTCGAAACTAATTTGAATGCCCGAGATCACTCAGCGGCAATCTCAACATCAAAAGAAATAGGCACAACTTTTCATTTGTCTGTGATACAGATTTATTTGTGAAGTATTCGGTTATGTTATTATTTGTATAGCTCATTTTCAATGGATCACCCTAGGAAATGAAACACTGGAACTTACTTGGAGAATAGTGGGTGAGTTTCAAAACTACGTAGCACTATTATTTATTCTCACATCAAATACTTTTAGAAATTATAATATAAGAACATGAAACGATACTGTCTCTGCATGCGATACTTTGATTGGCTTTCTAGTAAAAGGATGTTCCGAGTTCTATGATCTGAGATTCCCCGCGATAACAGCTTAACGCCAAGTAATGTTGCCAGACTAAATAAAAACAAGTGACGAGAAACGACAAGGATGAGAATTTTTTTGATTGATTAATTTTATAATATATAATATCAGATATATTCATGACTATTTCATTAATATGCTTTCGTGCGCCGAAGAGTGGAATATCTTTGGATTGGGAATGTTATTTTAAAAAAAATTGGATTTTTTATATTTTTTGCTTTGAGGCATGAGGCCCTTTGCACCGCGAGGCCTTACGCCGTCTCTGTTCATGAAAATGCAAGTATCAAGATTTTACCTCAACAGTGTACGATTATTTTTTAACCGAATGTGAAAAATATTTTTTCTGTCTAACTTTATTACATGTATCCGACATATCTTTTCTGCTCGTTGTTGTCTAATTTTCCCACAAGAATATGATCATTCGTTTTGACATTCAAACATTTTAAAACATTAGGGCGCTCGTAAAATCTTAACACGAAACCACACCCCTTATTTGTTTATATCTCTGTGTACTTTAAGGCGTGTCCCTAGCAGTTGGCAACATTTGTTCTTTTGGTAAAAATGGTATATTGAAATAATTAGCATCTCCTG